TATATATATATATATGTAATAGTTATAAAGTGATATACGCCAAAATATAATAAGCAAAAAGATTATGTATCAAGTCACACGTGCCATCACTTACGTGATTGACTTGCTGGGCACCTATGACTAGCAAACAATGCTCGAGTTGTGCACCTCAGCCAAACAGTGTTTGAGTTGTGCACCTCCGCCAAATAGTGTCCAAGTTGTGCATCTCAGCCAAACAATGCTCGAGTCATGCACCTCGACCAAATAGTATCGAAGTCGTGCACCTTGACCAAACAGTGTATGAGTGGTGCACCTCAGCCAAACAGTATTCGAATCATGCACCTCGGTGAAACAGTGCCCGAGTTGTACACCTCGGCCAAATAATGTCCGAGTCACATCTCGGCCAGTCCAATACCCGAGCTACGCCTCGTGGCAAGTCCAATGTCCGAGTCATGTCTCGACCAGTCTAATACCCGAGCCATGCGTTGCAGCGAGTCCATTGTCTGAGTCACATCTCGACTAGTCCAATTCTTGAGCTATGCCTCGCGGCTAGTCCAATGTCCGAGTCACGTATCGGCCAGTCCAGCGCCCGAGCCATGCCTTGCAGCCAATTCAATGCTCGAGTAATGTTGCTTAGCCAAACCTATGCCCGAGCAACGTTGTTCGGCCAATCCTATGCCCGAGTAATGTTGCTCAGCCAACCTAGTGCCCGAGTCATGTCACTTGGCTAGTTCAGTGCTCAGTGCCCGAGCAGTGTTGCTCAGCCAGCCTAATGCCCAATGCCCAAGTAGTGTTGCTCAGTTAGTCATGTGCCGAGCAATATGGCTCAACCAATCATGTGCCCGAGTAGTGTTGCTCGGCCAGCCCAATGCCCGAGCAGTGTTGCTCGGCCAGTCCTGCACCTAAGCAGTGTTGCTTGGCCAGTCCTGCACCCAAGTAGTATTGCTTGGCCAACCTAGTCCAACTCCTGAATAGAACCTCCCGGTCAACTGACAATTGAACCACTAATCCTAGCACAGCAATCGACCCAGGCAGCAAAAGGCACCAAGCTGTGCCCCGAGCCCCTCCACGAGGAACCCGGGGTACGGCGGGGGGGGGGGGGTGATAGGACATATGATGCATTTGCGTCAACACAATACCTCGGACTCGGATGGGACGACCGCCTGGTCCGCCATTGTTCGAGGTCATACAAGATGACGCCACATAGTACAGAACCACTCCGGAAAGCTTAGAACGGTGCCGATCTGTGCAGGTCGATCGACGCCCTCACGGAAGGTGTGAGACGAGCCGATTGCCCGAGGAGTCAGTGACTATTAACAGACCATGTACGATTGATCTTCGTTCACATGTATAAAAGTCAACCTCTTGACCAACATCAGGGGTGGAACTTCAAATACTCAAACTCCCCCTAACACCACTCAACACTGACTTAAGCTTCAGAGGGGTCGAGTCGAGAAATCCCCTTCGCAACTTCGACCTATGTGAAGGAACTTGACAAGGAAAGAGTAGTAACTCGGTGGGGGAGGAAGAGCAACTCCTTGCTCTACCTCGGATTCTGTAGATGAAGCCTAGACCTGACGTTGACCACCCTCGTTCGAGTAGCCACGCCGGTGGCTCTGCGTACTTGGGATCGTACTAAGCCGTGCTGGCTTATTAGCCACGACATAAAGTTACTTAACTATATATATATATATATATATATATATATATATATATATATATATATATATATATATATATATATATATATATATATATGATTAAGATTGGAAATCACATTTGATAAATTTAAAATTTAAAAGAGATTAATCAACTTAATTGGTAAAGATAAGTTTTGAATCAAATCCCGTGTTAGTAACTTACCTTTGTTAAACAGACAAAAAAGGAAAAAAAGATCTTCGTTACCCCTAAATCTCAAGAATCACACTGCACACTACGACTTGACATCCTCAAATCGATTTTGCCTCAGAAATCAAATCTTTTTCCACCCAAAAAGACTTGCAATCCCTCTCCGGGAAACTTTACGGGCCGTGCTCCCTCGGCAAGCTCTGCAGCGTATCGGACCACCTCCCGGGCGAGTGGTCGCTGCTGTTGGACGACGCCACCACCTCTGCCCTTGCTTCTCTGATCATCCGCAGCACCTCCTCCGTCGGCGGCCGTTTCTCCGCCTCGACTGCCACGCACGCGACTGCGATGTCCAGCAGCGCTGTGAGCTTCTCCTCGGACGGCCCGGGGTCCTCGCCGAAGTCGTTCTTCTCCCGCTTTCGCACGGTGCGGACCCACCTGGGGATGTCGGCGCCGGGCTCCTCCACCAGGTCGTGCATGGCGGTCTTCCCGGTGAGGAGTTCCAGGAGGAGCACGCCGAAGCTGTAGACGTCGGAGAGGGGGGTGAAGGCGGGGTTGGGGAGGCGGGACTCGGGGGCGCGGTAGAAGACGGCGGCAGCGGCGGAGGAGGAGGAGGAGGAGGAGGAGGGGGAGGGTGCGGAGAGGTCGTCGTGGGAGGCGGGGAGGAGGGAAGGGATGAGGCCGTAGTCGGTGAGGCAGGACTCGAAGTCGGGGCCGAGGAGGACGTTGGAGGGCTTGAGGTCGGCGTGGACGGTGGGCGGGTTAGTCTGGTGGAGGTAGAGGAGGCCGGCGGCGACGTCCTCCGCGATCTTCAAACACGACGTCCAATGAAGCGGCTTCCCGCTTCCGGAGGGCCGCGACCCTGCACGCAACCACATCACACAGCCCGCACGCATCACGTAGCAGCACAAGGCAGAGTAGAACACTTGAGAAAAGCTGAAGCAGTACAAGCCATGTATCGGGGACCGACCACACCTACTCGTGCCCCAAAGAGAGAGAGAGAGAGGAGCTTCACTGACCATGGATGAGGGAGAAGAGGCTGCCGTTGGGAAAGTAGTCGTAGACGAGGAGGCGCTCATCCTTGGCATGGAAGTAGGCACGAAAGGGCACCAGGTTGGGGTGGTGCACGCGGCCGAGCTCCTCCATCCGCCGTCGGAACTCCTCGGCGGGCGGGCGGGACGCGTCCTTGAGCCGCTTCACCGTCACGATGAACCCTGACTCCATCACCGCCTTATACGTACTCCCCACCGTTCCCCGCCCCAGCGTCTCCGCGGACGCCCGCAGCAGCTCCTCCAGGCTGTACATCTCCCCCGCGCCGCCGCAGAACACCAACTTCCCAACATCCTCCGCCTCCCACGAGAACCCGCCCTTCCCCCCTCCTCCGCCGTCGCTGCTGCCTTCTTCGAGGGGCTTGCTGCGGCCGCCTGATCCGTGTCCGACGGATCGGCTCTCGATTACTCTTCTTCTCTTTCTCTTGTATGCCAATAGCAACGCCACTGTCAAGCAAACTGATAAGAAGAACGCCCCGGCGACGGAACTGGCGACGATGCCGATGATCCTTCTAATGCTTTTCTTGTGGGTGCGAAGGAGACGCGGAGGGATGGCGTTTACTTGGTCAAAGGATGATTTTGGACTGCCAGTGGGAGGCGGAAAGATCAACTTCTGGGTGCAGGGGGCTCCGATTTGATCCCCGCAGAGGTTGGGATTGTCGAGGAAAGAGGAGCGGTTGAAGCGAGAGAGGGAGCGAGTGGCGGGGATCTCACCAGAGAGGTTGTTGCCGGAGACATTGAGGTAGAGGAGACTGGGTTGGTCGAGCGGCGGGATCTCCCCCATAAGGCGGTTGTCTTGGAGCAGGAGCGCATGAAGCCGCGGTAGGCCGGCCAGGGACGTCGGAATGGGGCCGGAAAGGAGGTTGTGGGAGAGGACGATCAACTTTAGGCGGTGAAGAGAGGCTATGGTGACCGGGATCCGGCCGGAGAACTGATTGTCGCTAAGGAAGAGGGATTTGAGGTTGACGAGGGGGGAGAGGTCGGGAATGGCACCGGAAAGAGAATTGGCCTTGAAGCTGAGAACGCGAAGTTGGTCGAGAGGAGCGAGGAGTTCCTGAAGCAACGTCCCGGTGAGGTTGAGGAACTCGACCACGAGCTTTGTCACTCTACCATCAGGAGAGCACTGCTTCACCCCCTTCCACCCGCCGCAGAGCTCAGAGACGGCTTCTTGGCGCCACGGCAAGGAGTCGTGAGGATCAATGGAAGACTTCAAGGCCAAGAGCGCGTCGAAGTCGCCGGTTCTCAACTCGACAGCGGCGGAAGCGCGAAGGAACGAGGACGGCAAGCAGACGATGAGGAGGAAGAAGAGATAAAAATCATACCTTGGAGAAACAGGTCGCACTTCCATTGAGAGCGACAGTAGCAGAAGATCATATATAGCAAACGAGGGGTGGCAGAAGGTGCTTCAATGCGGCGTTCTGAAGGCCGCCATGGGAAGGGGGACGAGGAGGGAGTCAAGTGTAACCCCGAGTAAAGGCAAAACTCCGGTCTCCGACTTCGAGCTTCGAGAAGAATTGTATTGAGTTCTCTCCAGGTGGTTGAAGACAGCGAATCCGTCGAGGTCTGTGCTTCACGTGAGTCAGCCACAGAGAGCATGACAACGTTTCATGCCTTGACCGCTGAAGAAGACGAAGAAGATTAAACGAACATAATTGAGTTGAAGAAAGATGTCTTAAAAGGAGTTAAAAAGAGATCGGACGGAACCCAGAGGAGAGCGACAGATGGCGGGAGCTGTTGCAACCCTGAACAGAGCTCGCGCGTCTCTCTCTCTCTCTCTCACACACACACACACTCATGAAGCGAGTGTGAGAAGTTAAAGCTCCGCCAGTAGCAGCATACCACGACATCAGTCGCTTTTAATGATCCCGAAAGCTTCCCAGCGCGCGCGCGAGGGACGCTCTCCGTGCTCGATCGATTTGATCATGGCGGTGGGTCCACAAGGGACCCACGTCCGGGTACGGTGCGGGTGGACGTGGTCGGGGGTGGGGATTACTGACGCGATGAGCGTCGTCCGGAGCCATGTGGGTGTCGGATCTGCGCCTTCGATGTGGCTGCTCTTGACGCCTCGATTCCACATGGCCTTTGGGTCCCGCCACGTGTGCCTCCTGCACGCAGACCACCTGACCGTTTTCTCCGACCACTTTATCCCTAGCCTTTGAGGGGTGATGTGGGCTCCAAGCGGTGTCCCGCCATGGTCACCTAACCCGTGAAACCCTCAGGGGTATTTTGGTGGCCGTACACACTTAGTCGTTGGCGTCGTCACTTACCGCAAGGACACGGGTCGCCATCGATGGGTCCCATCCAGCCCCTTGTTGCGCCTCCAATAGTCGAACGGAGCTGTCGGGCGGGTAACACGCAAACGAGTCATTGCATGTTTTCGTGCTACCATGGGAACGGTATCGCATGCACGAGACACCGAGAAATGTACGACGCGGTCGTCGCGGTGTTTCGACAGCGGTGAGATTGATATCGTTTTTGTCACTTGTAGCGTCCGTACGGACACTGGCTCCACGTGACTGTGATTCGATCACTGTGTGGCGTTTGGCTGCGTCCCGTGCACTCCCTCCCATGTCATACGTATCTCGTGTGGTGGGAACTTTCAGGGGTCCACGCAACCGGTTCTACGCGATGAGATGAAGCCAGCTGTCAACTCGGAGCCAATTAGATTTGGTTGCGTGCATAAACCCTTCGATCGTATACGTACAATACACGATACATGAAGACCCCAACTGCATAAATGCCATTGCAAGAAACTCTTGGCCGAAGCTTACTGCATTTTCCGTGATTGTGATTTATTGGCTTGTAGAGAACCAAATTGATCGAGTCATTTCTCCGTCAATAGTCACATTACCACGTGAATTCAACCTTGCGGTCAAACTCGGGTCGCCAATCCAGTTTCTCGTGCCAGTTTGTGTTCCGAGAGAGGACGACAAATACTGCATCGCCTGAAACTAAGTATTGTAAAAGCCATCGACATCTGATTGATAGGACAATTGATTGGTACCACCGAGGGTACTTAAATCCGACTCATCAAACTATCAACTCAATTAAATGAGAGTTGAACATGGGGTGATACAATATCTTGTATTAAAGATCATGTGTCCTCGTTAGCACAGTATAGATAAGCATTCATCACTCGAATCTTTTTCTACATCTAATATTATATTAAAAGTAAATTTCTGATTAAAAATATTTAAAATTTGATAATAAAAAAATACTTCTATTTTAAAAAATTCTCATGAAATATTTTTTTAATAATCATTTTACCTTTGGCCCCATTAGATTCGTCATGCGTCTGTCTTGCATTTCCTCGTGCCACCCTTGTCGTGCTTATTCACGATCTTAACGTGAACAAAGAGGAGGTGCAAGGCAACGACTATCATCACCTCTATGAACCTACATCACCTCCTCTACCATCTCCCTTCATCTCTACATCGTCGGATTTGTAACCCTTGCATGAAGAATGAGAGGGCGACGAAGAAGGTGAAAGTATTGTCATTAACTTGATAAAAAATAAATGATATATTTTAAAATATTTAATCTCGACTTAATGATAATATCCATTGTGAAGTTAATTTGGTGTAAGATTGGTGGCACACAACTATTTCAGGAAATTTTAGATAAAAAAGTTCTAATATCTTTTTCTCAAATAACTTGATGAGTTTGAATTATAAATATAAAATATAAAATTCAAGTTAATAGGAGTAGAACCAACCAGTTTTTTCATCAATTTATTTATTTTTTCAATTTAACATGGGATTAAATCATAATGTTACTATAATCTTCGTATCTAAGGGTTACATCAAGAAAGAGAAATATACCCATTTAGTCCATATAAGTTAATCCATAAACTAACGAATGAAATGAGTGAGTTATTAATTTCAAAAAGTCTAAAACCATTTGTCCAAAACATTTAGCATAAAATAATAATAATATATTTATTAAGTCTTTGTCACTCAACCAAAAGAGTTTAATTAGATTATTTTGATCTCCCACACTTAATTATGGTGGCTCCATGTTATGTTGGGTCATTTGACATGTTCATGCACACATCAAATAGTAAATTGAATTTGATATCCATTATCACACGACTTAAATCATTATGAACGTTATTTTAGAAAATATCCATATTTTAGATTTGTTTCAATTAAGACTTTTATCTTACTTTTTAAAAATAGTACTCTTAATTTATAAAATACCTAAATTATTCTTCAATTTTTTTTTAAATCTATCATAGCCTTTTGACTCATTATGATTTTATGACCATCACAATAAAGATATTATAAGATATATTTGAAAACACCATAAACGATCTAAAAGGAATCTGAATCAAATTAACTATAAATCTAAAAATATAGTATTATAATAATATATGAGTAATAATAATCAAAGAGATATAATAAATATCACTTATATTATTTTTAATAGTATTTATAATATTTTTAGTATATAAATGTTATTAAAAAACACTGTAGACAACCAAATATTATAAATTAATTAAATTAATATGGGTTTATTTATAGTATTAATTTGAAAATACCTAAACTACTCCTCAAAAATTAACAAATTAATTTTATTTATAAATTAATTAAATTAATATGGGTTAAAAACTAGTTAAAAATAAGTAAAAAAATTAACAAATTAATTTTTGAGGAGTAGATTAGGTATTTTCAAATTAATATGGGTTTTCTTTAAGGAAAATCACTCAATAAAAATTACAATCCTCAATTAAAAATTATTATATTAATTAAACTGATAAATAAATCAAAGCATAAAGGTTGAACACAAGAATCCGCAACTCGCGTCCCTCGCCCAGGCGGGCCATCGACACGCGATAGGATGCCGTGCGATGCGCTGTGCTCTCCACCACCGTCGGATCCACCGCCCATATCGGATTGGCCTTTTCCTCTTTTGCCTCCTCCTTTCTATATCGCGCTTCGAAAATAAACCGTTTCTCGCTCTCCCTCCTCTCCCTCGATTCCGCCACCCTCGTGTTCGATCCCGGCGAGTAAGGTCCGCTCGCCGAACACTATTAGCCCCGGCCGAGGCGACGCCTTATGGCCTCCTCGTCGGCCTTTCTTGCGCTCCGGAGCGCCTCCGATTGGTGGGATGAGGTGAACAACTCCAGCCTGTGGCAGGATCGGATCTTCCACGCCCTCTCCCTTCTCTTTGGACTCATCTCCGTCGTCGCCCTCGTAATCTCCCTCTCCCCATCTCTCGATCCCGTCTCTTGAATCTCTCTTTCAGGATTCTGAGCGCTAGGGTTTCGATCTACTAGCATTATCTTGTTGTGATTCCTGGAGTATTAGGGTTCGCCAGAACGAGAGATTCGACTGATTCAAGGAGTGCGTATTTGCTTGTTGTCGTTGTCGTCAATACTCATCTATCACATGTGTTGCAGATTCAATTGGTTAGGATCGAATGTAGAGTACCCGAGTTTGGCTGGACGACGCAGAAGGTCTTCCACTTCTTGAACTTCCTCGTGAATGGGGGTTCGTAATGCTTTTTTTCTGGTCTTTGTTTGTCTAGTACGCTTCATCTCGTTGTACTCATTGACTGCTGCCGCTCGATGACGTTATGACTCTTGCTATTTGTAGTTCGGTCTCTCGTCTTTGTGTTTCGTAGGGGCATCCAGAAAATAAACCCCGTGGTGTGCTTCATGCCCCTTTTTGGCTTTCAGGAAGCTCTACATGATGGTTCTTAAACTGTTCTAATGGCATTTATTCGGGTTTCAGATAATTCAACATATTCTACTGGATTTGCCTGGTCTTGCATTCTTTACTACATATGCTCTGCTGGTTTTATTTTGGGCTGAAATCTATTATCAGGTAAGCTTTCTGAATATCTAATCTCAGTTGCTTGCAGGTTGCCTGATTTGTGCTTATTTATTTATTTTAATGGTATTATGCAGGCACGTTCTGTGTCTACTGATGGGCTTAGGCCAAGCTTCTACACAATTAATGCGGTGGTCTATGTTATTCAGGTAATGGCAGTTAGTACTTTTTCTTAAAATGAACGTTGTCATTCCTTGCATGTTTTTTCTGTTTTTCTTGCGATAGAAAAGGATTTATACATTCCTTTCTGTTTATTGTCATGTTAAACCGAAGCTTGCTCTGAATTGTCCCTTATGAAAATATGTGGTGGATTTTAGGTTTTATCATATCAACATGAAATGCATGGGTAGTTTCTTACAAATTATGGAAACCTAAACATTTAAGAAGCATGTAGTGAAAGACAACAAAGTAGTAAGTCTTTAAACTACCGAACAGTATAGTTTGCATGTGGCTTTGGTCTGTCATAACCTATGGCAGATTTAATGGAACTGATTTATTGTATGTCACATCCTATATGGAACTTGATTTGGAGTTATGGGTGATATTTTTTGACTTTGCCAATAACATTCTTAGGTTTTGTTGCATGGAAAATAGAAGAGGTACTAGGTGCCAAGTAAGCATGGTTACCTACTTTTGTCCGCTTTGTTTATAGTAAAGAAAGTGTAATTGTTAAAATAAATAAAGGTACTATGTCCTCACTTGAGCTGTATACTCTAAAAGTCTCTTACATTCTCACACTTCACACAAATTGAAGGTCCTGCTACTCTTTCCATGTGATACCAAGCAGGTCATTGTTGTAGACAATCTTCGACGTAGCTCAGTTTGAATTAAGACAGACTGATAAAATTTTGATGAGAAATGTTGGATGACGGGGAAGAAGAGGGGCATAGTGTGGAATAAAAAAAAGTTCAACAGTTTAGGTGTGACTTAAAAGAACCCCATATCATAATAAAGTATGTATCTTGAGATATCATGCCAATTAAATGTGAGTTTGGATTGGTCTGATCATATACGAGCCTTGACTCATGGGTAAAAGCAGTTCCTCTTATTGCAAATAGCTCCATCTTTTGTTAGTGTAGACATTGTATTGAAGAACAACTAGGAAGAACACATGGAAGATCATAGGAGATCATGGATCCATATATGTCTTGTTCCATGGTTTCTAGCAAGTTTTCAAATATTTGTTGATGGTCGGAGCGGTACATGTCAACATCCCAGTGCTTGATATGGGTCAGGACTAGTCAGTACCCTTAGATCAGAGACGTCGTTGGCGAAGGAGGTGACAATGAAGGAGGATGTAGGTGTCACGATCTAACTCAAAATACTTAAGTTGAACTTTGCAGTAGTACCATTAGACCCCTATAAACTGATCTTAGTCTTAGCCCACTTTTGATATGGGACTATACCAGGGTGTTACAGTAGATGCAGAGGCAAGGGTAGAGAGAGATGGTTGACAACTTTACAGTTATTGACCAATGAAGAGGGGAGAACGCTTGTGTTAAAAAAGAGAGAAAAACTTAATTTATTCTTAAATTTTATGCCGGTCTTATTTCAATTAGGCTCTCCGACAAGGTTAGTGTACCGGACGGTTTACACTATCCCGAATTGGATTGAGCAATGTTGCTAGATCCATGTACCAGTCATGGCTTGGACTAAGAACCAACCCATAATGATCAGGATAATAACCTTGATTCCTAGGCTGTTTGTGAGTTACTGAGATGTGTATGGCACATATATCTTCCAATACTTGCATATGACTAACCTTTTGCACATGAATTTGTCTATCAATACATAATCTAATGTAGAATACAATATTTTATGGAATGAACTGACACTAAATAAAATTCCAGTTTTAATTATTCGAGCATCACAAAACTTAGATGTTGATAGTGAAACCTTAAAACAAATGCTGGCCATGTAAAAGTTAAGAGATCAAAGAGATATCAAATTTGTAATCCTTGAAGCATTTCAAGCCAGAATGATCAGCAAAGAAATAAGATATACTGTTTTAAGTGAAAGCAATTGGAAAAAAAAGGGGAGCTGGTGAACATCTTGTATGCATATCAACAGGGCTGCAGGAAGAATAGAAAAAAATAAGAGATACAAATATTTTTAAAGATTTGATCATATTAAGGTTCTAATAAAGAAAAATGGATGGAAAAGTCTCATCAAGGGGCTGCTGCAGAGAGGTACTCATACAAGAGTCACACAAGTGTGCTATCAGATCAGTATATAAATCTTTGTAGGAGATTCATGATTTTTTCAATCATTGCAAGAGAGTCATGAATATCATAATGGAATTTGAGCAAGAGGATATGGGTCTCATATGGTAGTAGAAAGAAAGAACAAAAAGGTCAGAGAAGTAGTGGTGTTGAGCGGCACAGTTGCAGTAGAAGGGAGGGAAGGAAGAAAAAAGAGAGGGACATAGAGGAGACAAGAGGGAGCTTTTCTGCTTTTCAATCTGTGTGGCTTTTTCACCACCTGACAAGGGAAATCAGCTGGGTGACTTGGTTGTGGACCTTAATCTTTGCTGCTTTATTGGTGATTGGATCATCTTATTTGATTTTATGGAACTTGTTTTCCACTAGCTTGGTCTATTGTCGTTAATCTCATGTAGCTTAGTGTCCAATCAACAAACCATATCATGTCTGCAACTGCAAATCCACAAAAAATTAGAAAAGCTGCTTATCTGATAATTTAAAGTTGTCAGGTTATCAGTTAACTCGAGGTGCTAGATTAGAATTAATTAGAAATACAAGATTCTAATCCATTTACATGAAAACTTCTCCCTTGATTTCTCTGAATACTGAATGAACTTAAACATTTGACAAAAGATAAAAGATATGAAAAATAAAAATAAGTCTGCACTGCCCAATATATATTACTGTATTGCTGACAAATTAACAATGTAAGTTATTTGCAACATGTTTTCTTACTTGGCTAATGTCATTATTATCCTCGACATTGCTTAAAGCTAGGAATTTTTTTCAGACTCTGTTTACCTTGATAGATCTCGCTCCTTTGTCTACGTCAATTCTATTCATGTATGAAGAATGAGTGAGTTGGGCTGATTGCTATCAGATGAAAGGCCTGCATTTCCTTTTTAGTAATCGTATGATATCTGTTTAACATGATAGTTGGTTATCCTAAGATCATTTGCTAGCATAATTTCTGCTATATAACATGTCTTTTCTATATCTTCTGGAAATTATGCTTCATCATCACATTGCATAATGTATGGATTTCTTCAGAATAAAAGAAACCACCCCCTCCACCCCACTAAAACAATGTTTTAAGCAACACTAGAAAGGTAATTGTGACTTTAGGTGTTAAGACTTTTGGCATAGCAGGCCTCCCTCTCCCTCTAGGAAGCCCACACGACATGCTATTAGCTCAGTGGTTGAGCACGTCCCTGATAATTGCCTCATTGTGCCTGGGCTGTGAGGGCTCTCAGCCACATGGATAGTTCAATGTGCTCATCAGCGCCTGACCTCATAAACCAAGCTCTACACTTGCATCAAGCTCTACGCTCACATCTACCTTTGGAAAAATAAAGGTTAATAACCTGCCTTTCTACTCCTTATATAGGAGAAAAAAGACATCATCCAAGATGCCCTTTTCATCTTTTCTTTTGGCCATTTTAAATCAGATGAGTCTGAGTAAAACTGGTTGGCTAACATACATGAGATTATCTTCTGTGCGTAACACTATGTAGAAGTTAGGTATTAATACATCAGATTAGTTCAATATTGTTTTTAAATTGTTGGCAGATCTCTCTTTGGTTAGTTTTGTGGTGGAAGCCAGTCCAAGCTATGATCGTTTTATCCAAGTTATTCTTTGCAGGTTTGGTTCCCCATAATCTAACTTATGTTTCATAATCTATTGTACTTGGAACAAAATATTATTTGTTTCATAAAATCTTTAATTCTTATGGACATTTTATGGCAGGTGTCTCATTCTTTGCTGCCCTTGGTTTTCTTTTATATGGAGGGAGGTGAGTTATCTCATATGCGCTTATATACCAATATTTCCTTAAAGATCAGATTTAAATTTTATGTGTACCTTTGTTTGTTTTTTTAGGTAATATGTTGCAAGGATTAAGTTTCAGTAAAAAAAAAGTTTCAGTAAATTACACTATCTTGCTGGTGTCCACAATGGTGAATGCCATTGGCATATCCTTTTGGACACCATGCAATCACACATGGAGACACAGATAAGAGTAGGAAAGTGGAGAGGGGAGGAAATGGGGAAAGCACAAAAGCAAAAAAAGGGGAGAGTGGGTACTTTGCATCTTGATGGATGAAAGTTGATTGCCTCCAGCTTTTCTCAAATAACCAGGTCATTCAATGCGGCGTTAGGTTTTAAACTTGAGCATTTGCAGTCTTGCATCACCTAATAATTATTGATTAGCTTTCCTGTTTTGTCTGTACCAATTCCCAGTTAATGGGCAAATATAAGAAATCGGCAACAGCAGCAGGTCTAAATTAAGGTTAAACAAAAAATAAAAATTCCATTCTGAAAGATGTTACCTCCAAGCATTGGCTTTGTTCCTTCTTTGTGAAATTTTTTTTTTCTAATACTCAATATGGGCCATGTTAGACATGAAATTGGAGGATTAAATCTCAAAACTGTACTTAACCTGGTTGAGTTTGGTTGCTAGCTCTACCGTGTATGCAGCCTGACCTGGCACAAAAAATGCTTACTCATCCCACAAAGAAGACTTATGCTACATGATATTAGAAACAGACAATATGATTTTTTCCAAGAGTCGTAACTTTGATGTTGCCTTTATAGATGAAACTATGGAGGATTGTATTGATCAGGAAAGCTGATGAGTAGGCTATAAATATTCACATACGATTCGTTGGATTGAAAAATTTGATGATTCTTAACAAAAATATAAGCTCTCTCCCTCTGTGTTTTATTGATATTTTTGTAATTCATAGGCTTTTCTTAATGTTGAAGCGCTTCCCTGTTGAATCAAAAGGGCGACGTAAGAAGTTACAGGAGGTATCTATGAACTTTTCTACTCTTCACTTGTCAGCATATTTGCCTATATTGATTGCTTTTTTTTCCCCTTGCACAGGTTGGCTATGTTACGACCATATGTTTCCTATGTTTCTTGTTGAGATGCATTATGGTAAGCATGAGAATACTTATTATCTAGCTAGGTTAATATTATATCTGTTAAATATTTGATTTATTTTGTGTTAGCATTTTAATCATTGAATTACAGATTTGCTTCAACACTTTTGACAAAGCTGCAGACCTTGATGTTCTGGATCATCCAATTCTGAACTTCATATACTACCTGGTATGGTCCATATTTTGCAGTTCTTGGATTTAAAATAACTTGAGCTGCTTTATTTTTTCTACTTTCAGTTCATCTACATAAATTAGGGTAGTCGACTGTATGCATTTCACCTGTATGGTTAAAAGCTGCTCCTTTTAGGGCCTATATTTCACTTATAAAAAGATTATGTGTAGCATAATAGGTGCTTCCTTTGTAATATAAGCTAGGGTCTTTCTTTCTCTAGTTAGTTTTCGTTAGTCTTAATGTTATAGATTTCCAATAATTAAGAACAAAATTAGTCAGGGCCACTTTAAGTCTCATTTGTTCTCTTGAAATGGTATCAAGCTAGTTTTCATTTTAGCCTTAATATGTTATGGGTTTCCAAGAAATAAGAACAAAATCAGCAAGGACCACTGCAAGTCTCATTTGTTGTTCTCTTGAAATGGGTTTTCTGAAGAAATTTTTTTACTGAATCTGAGATGGTTATTATTAGTTTTATGTCTAGATGCATATGTATGTCGCATTCATTCAGTGACTTGTGGGTTTCTTTTGCTTTTGCAGTTTGTTGAAATTTTGCCCTCAGCTCTGGTACTTTTCATCTTAAGGAAATTACCGCCTAAACGTGGGATCACTCAATACCATCCAATCCATTGACTTGGGGTTCCTACTTTTGTTGTTGATGAACTCACCATAAACCAATTAGTCTGCGAAGCCATTTCATGCTGAAGTTTACAGGGAAGAAATCAACAAAACTGGCATCCCGTGATGATGGTATAACTACTCCCAGAATAGATCTGCTTTATGGGGTTTGTAGGAATATAATGATTTGTTTTGAAGTCCAATAGCAATGTAAATATCTGCACGATAGTTCATTGTTTAGTTTATCCTGCTTACTAATTCTGTTACTCTGGTTGTCATGTGATGTTCTATGGACACTCTCAAACAAACTACTTGCTACCATCATATAAGCGATTACTTTAGTAACATGGTAATTATTTAGTGAAGATCGATACATCTGTCACACTCTTGATACTTAAGTATCTGCATTTGAATTAGTTTATCTTTTTATCAATTGTATTCCTAAACTATTGTACTTCTTTTCCAAGCTTTGATCTTTTCATTTGCTAATAGGCCTTTTTCTAGATCAACATGTTCAGGTACCATGAAGTTGAACACCAGAATGACAATTCTGTCTCCATGAAACTATGATAATACATTATGGTGGTCAGGATCTTTGAAATTTTCTTATGTCAGGGAAAATCCAAGAATCCCAGCTAAATGTTTAGATTCTTGGACCAGGTTTTGACGAACCATTACCAAACGTTGCAACGCCGAACACTCTTTGCTTTAACTATCGATCTTTTGGTAGTGTCCTTGTGACTAATTATTGCTATCAAAATTGAAATAAATGAGTGCTTCACACGAGGAACACTTTATTCTGCCAGCATATCATGTTTCTGCATAACTCACGTCCTAAAACACGGAAGAAGCATAAAATGTTTCGCATACCTTTTCTGCTGCTGATGTTTGAGCTCGTTGGAGCGAGGAATGCGTGTTTCTTCTCCGGAGTTGGGTGGGTCTCCTACATTAACCGCCTCTCCATAAACTAACAGTCTCTCTGAGTGTTGAATGTTAGGTCGAGCTTGGTGACCATTTCTCTCGAAGTTGTAGATGATAGATGTGTTCATCAATAACGCTCCCGGTGTTGACAAACCATAACACGTTACGACATTGACATGGTACAGCTCTCTTCGTTGAAAGCACCACTGGTATAATGATTGTCACTATCTATTAATCTGATAGTGCCGATCTCGCTATCTTTACAGGTTAATATTAAGCACATAAATAAGTTTCAAGTTTTTTAGATTTATAAATATTTTAATGTCAAACTTTTTTTTCGGGAAGAATATTGTCAGATCCATTCGAGATTGGAGCACGGTCAGATCAACGAATCAGATCCTGCGACATGATGCAGGTCCATGTTGGTGACTCGGTTTGATTCAGTTGATCGTTGACCGTATCACTTGTCATTCAACCAACCCAAGTTCTAATTTTGACTTCTACTAGGCCAATTCAGATTCGGATCTCGCATCTGCGATCCGGGTCCACAATGTTTCGACAAAAACCAGCGGAACCCAACTGACCCGACAAGCCCCCGTCACGTGACCTCCACCACTGGAGAAGCCACCAATGAGATGCCGCCTTATCCTTAATGCCATATTACACTTTAGATCCAACGGTCAGGCGGATCCACCTCATTAGCCCAAGTCCAAACCAGCCTTGCCTTAGCTTAACACAAAGGTCACGTTCTATTTAATTACCGAAACACCACTCTCTCTCGGCGCTAGTCGCTGTTCAGTAATATTAAGTGATCTACAGCCTCTTTATAGAGAGAGATTGTTATTGTGGTTTATCAGGGACCTATAAAAGGGGAAAGAAACTAGAAACTCCTTTCTCTCTCTCTCTCTCTCTCTCTCTCTCTCTTCGCCTTCTCTCTCTCTCTCTCTTTCTCTCGCTCGCGCAGCCGCAGGAGCTTTCGCCTTTCTTTCCCCCAAAAGGTGAGATTCCCCCATGCCAAGCCCTGGGGCTGATTTCACGCCTATAAATTGAGATCACATACTCTTCTCCTCGGATCTGCCAAGATTTGCTATCTCAATCGTTGTCTCTCACGCCCCGACCCGTTCCTGAGATCTTAAATTTTCTCTGTCCTGTGCCCTAAGCTTCGGATTTACCTTTCTGCATCTCGTATCTGGATCTGCGACCACGAGGTTGTGATCGATCGTTATCCCTTATTTCCTGCTGAGAAGAGCTTGAGAAGTTCGGAGATGGAATCTGACGGCGGGCATGAGGCAATCCAGCCGGTGACTGCGGAGGAGGAGGCGCTGAAGCGGAACACGGACTGTGTCTACTTCTTGGCGTCACCGTTGACCTGCAAGAAGGTGGATTTCCTTTTCTTCTTGGCTTTTCCTTTGCTTTTAGCTCTTAATGGTGGTAAAGTTGCAGTCTTTTCGCTTCAGCCTTGTCTTCTTTTATTTTCTTTGCCCTGATATGTGTAATCCTCGTGTGGGTTTGCTATGAATCCTGGCCGGTGGTTGGTCTTGGTGATGTGAAAACATGAAGCTGAAGTTGGTTGCTAAAAGTTAAGGTTTGAAGCGCATTTAATTCAATTTATAGTCATGTGATGATAGCGAGATTAAAAACTTTTCGTAGACAACCGACAAATTATGGGAAAAATATATAGTTTGTTGTGCTTGTCCCCGTGAAAGGTGTCAACGATAGGACAACCTGTTTTGCCTTGAACTTTTTTCAGCTTGGAGAGGTTAGTAATATGTTGCCTATTTTCCCTACAGTATCATCGATGAGGTTGCCTGTCAGTGAGAATTACAGTCTGACTGGCAGATTGGAAGGTCACCTTAGTTACATCTTACGAATAGTTTGATAAGTAGTTGCTCTTGTTATGTGGTATACCTTAGCATCAGTCAAACCAATTATGGGAATTTCACTTCATTATGCAAAAATACATATTGATCAAACTAATGAAAAGTCAGTCATTCACATATTAGATATTTTATCTGGACTCAGTTGACATAGTATGTTCCATACTGTTAATTATTTATGTTTTATGGGTCACTTTGGAACATATCGTGCTGGTGAACCTCAATTCCGATAGAGGGTTGAGGCAACGCTGAAGATTATGATAAGCTGAAATTGTCAAAGAATAGTGTATAAGTCCATCCACCCTTGAGAGTGACTCCCCGAGTTTCTCAGGGGCAAGGCCCATGTGGTTTCAGGTTTGATTTGTGACAAAGAATATGTATTCATTGTTTTTAGTATATTTTGCACATAACACCTTGCAGAGACCATTTGGTCTTGGGCAGGGAAATGAGAAATTATTTGAGGGGGACCAGCATACACTAATCTTATTGAGGGCAATCAACTTAAATTGACTTATGCAAGGAACCTGTATAAACATTACTCTAATATCTTTTGAACTAGTCATTTAAATCTCTTATACAATCAAACATTTTGAATAAACTTTTGTGGTCTTGGGATGGGACCATGTCAAGCCATTAGTACTTTTTGTTTTATTATGCCATGTGTTATAATTTTGGCATATGTTTCATGTTTAAATCACTTTGACCTCCTTATCTATCTACTTTGTCTTTCTCTCAGTCAGAGTGGGATCATTTATCAAAGTTCCATGAAATTTTTTCATTATTGAATCTTGTGGAGTGTTCTTAAGTTTTTCTTTGCATTAGAGGAACCTTTTTTTATTCTTTCTGTCAGGTAGAACTCTTAAGTATGACCCTGACATTTGCTGATAAATGACAATCTCATTTTAACTCAGTGAATATTTATTACTGAGGTATAGGATTCAATCTCTTAATCTGTGCATTCCCTATCTAAATATGTTTTTCCTTGACAAAACCCACGTATATGTCCTTTGTTAATTATTATCTGTAATTATATTGATAGAAATTTTTTTATGACTGTTGCTTATTTTTCAGTGGATTTGTATGTATCAGACTTGCGCTTTACTTTTTTTTTGTGAATTATCACACATTCATATCAATTTGATAATCATCTTTGAACAAAAAATAACAGATGTTTTCATCATTCAGGGGGGTGAGTGTGAATATCGTCATAGTGAGGGTGCCAGAATTAACCCCAGAGATTGCTGGTATTGGTTAAATGGTAACTGCCTGAATCCAAAATGTTCATTTCGCCATCCGGTAAGTCAGTTGTACAGTTTCATTTGTTATGTAGTATATATCTGCATGAGTTCATCAAAATGCTTGAAAGGACACTTTAATTTACGATGGTGTGTAAATGACCCCTTGGTAGTTCTTTTCATGTCAAAGCAAACTTTTTGCTTGTATCGAATATGCCTTTTCAGTTTGAAAGTATGAAATGTTGTAAAATTATAAAATTGTTGATTGTGGGCTTCCAAATGAGATTAGAACCTGTTAGAAGCAAAGGAATTTAAAGGACCAGAAAAGCCCATTTAAGAAATCTTTTAGAACATAAGTGATCATTCTATATTTAGTTAATCTAGGAAAATCCTGATTGCTGAGACCAAGGAAATTGCCTGTGAGTTGCAGCCTCTTTCCTTCACTTCTGTTGAGGGGAATTACACACTGACTTTTACAACCTATATCAATACTGCACTGCCATTACTCATCTTAAATAACGAATGAAAGTGCACATCCATTGATTGCCTGTGGTCTTTGTGCTTTTCTGTTTTTTTTCTTTTCATTTGCTATCATAGTCAATGGGGTTCTTATTGCTGTTGGTTTTTCAGCCACTTGATTCCTGTTTTACAATGCCGGCTCCAGTGACTACCTCTAGACCAATTCCACCTCAAACTGCAGCAACATCAAACCCTGCTGCACATTCTCCTCCTGGTAACATCAATAAACAGATTCCTGGTAATGTCGGTAAACAAGGTGTTCCCTGCTACTACTTTCAATGGGGGCAGTGTTTGAAAGGTGAAAGGTGTCCTTTCATGCATGGGCCACAGGCATCTAGCAGTGCTGTTTCCCAGCACAATGCAACAACTTCTGCATATCTTGCTGAATCACCACAGGCAAGTAAGAAGGGTACACGACAGAGCACTAGTTTGCAATGGAATGTTGCTGAACTAGATAAATCAAGGGTGGCTGTTAACATGCCAGTTGAAATGCCACCTGCTACAACAAAAAATGTTACCAAAGCCGAGAATGTTATTAACAATGAACCATCAGCAAACAAATTATTGTCACCGTATTCATTGAATGATGAGCCTTCCTTACTGCCACAGATTACTCTTTCTGTTGGCAGTGGCTATACTCTAAGCCAACCATGGAGTCATCAGGTGCAGCCTTGGCATGAGAAACCCGAGAATGTTAGGGATACTGATGAGTTCTTGCGGGAACATTCTCCTGGTTTTGATGTACTTGTGGAAGATGATAGTAGTCACCCTGATTACTTCCACAATGAAGATAACTTTAGAAGGGTGTCAGCTCATGATGGACAGAAACTTGAACCTGAAGATGATTACGACAACCACCACAGGCATTACGAACCTTTGACCAAGTTTGACAGGGATCGATACAATGCCATAGGCAAAGATGACAACTATGAAAATTGTGGCTTGGAACCAAAGACATTTGATAGGAACTTGGGCAAACCATCATCACTTGAAAGAAGAGTGCGTGACAATGAAAAAAAACTTGATGAGGCGGATGGCTCAGATTTGCGCCATCAGCTACTTAAACAAAGAAGGCTTACCGGTTCAGGGTCTACTGAAAGTCTTCATGGTCGTCATGAGCACCACCGGAGGGATGACCGCCACGCTGAGGAGAGGGGTTATGGCCGTCATTCTAGAGATCAAAGACAATTGCCTGTAAAGAGTTCCATAAGCACTCGTCTGCAAGGTAGAATTACATTCCCTGGAAGATCTTCAATTGAAAGGGCCAGTGATTTGCACTTGGAGAAAGAGAGAGGCAGGAGACCTCGAGGAAGATTGTCACCAACAAGACAAATAACTTACCAGCTGAGACATCCGGAAAGAATAAGACAGCAACAAAGCGAGGATTTTAACAAAGATACAAGGAATACTAGAAACAAGCCAACCAGAAGAGATGACACTAACTCTCTAGATTTTGTTGGTCCAAAATCTCTTGCAGAGCTGAAAGGTGCAAAGATCACTGGGAGTTCTGATGTGCAGTCGATCACAAGTACAGTTGCTAATACCAAACTGAACAAAGAGAATTCTGGAAAAGTAGAGGGGCTTCAGGAATCAGAAAATTCTCCATCATTTGAAGGTCCAAAACCACTGAATGCCATTCTGAAGAGGAAAAGGGAGTCAGCCTATGTGGATAGTGAAATTTCTACTTGCCCATATGAAAACAATATAGGTGGTGGAGAATCTGCTATCAATAGTTCTGCACAGGCAGCAGTTGTAAATTTGCCACCAGTTGCTTTACCGGAAGTAGAAAAGGAAGGCAACTATAGAATTGATCACGACGAGACACACGAGGTTAAAGCAGTTGAAGAGGAAGTGCAGGAGGAAGAAGAGGAGGGTCTGATCCCTCCAGAAGACAAGGAGCTAAATTACAACGATCAGTCATCCGCCAAAGCTGGTGCTGTTGAAGCTGAAGATGGCATGGATTTGGAAAATGTGGAAGATGAAGAGCTGGAAAATTATGATCAGAGAGATGAAGACTTCGAGTATGAAGCAGGGGGGGCAGAAGATGGCGAGAACACATTCCAGGATGATGAAGACGAGTTTGATGATGAGGACGACTTTGCAAGAAAGGTCAGTGTCATGTTATCCTGAAAGCAAAGGTAATGGTAATCGGTTTTGCTTGCCGGTTCTTGAAGAACCTCAACCACCTCCAATCTAAGTAATCTACAAATGTCTTGGAAGATATTGATGGCATTCACATATTTTATAAGCTCACAGCGGCAACTCCTTAGGTTCAAATTTGATGAGAAGGGGCCAAGAGGGAAGTTGAGAAATTTCAGAAGACATTATTTAGAGGATTTCGACTTTGCTTTCTTCCTGATTTCCTAATTATGGGTTCTTCAGAACCCAGTTTGTATCATATGCCATGCACCAAATGGATCGGTAATGAATCACCCTAGTGGGGTATCTTACAGCTTATCAAATCTGATCTATTCTCTTATGGTACTGCACCCTGGAGAGCTTCATGGAATCCAAACCGGAATATACTCTACTCGAAAATCATGTTGAAGACGAGAAACTACCATGAGAAATCTCAAACCATGTTTCGGTTACCTACATCATCAATCCTTACAAGCAGGTTTGTTCAGTTGGGATGAAGAAACTTATTGCATTAATCGTTTCTCCGTGCTCTGTTCCTTTTTATATTGAACTACAAACGTCTTTATATATACACATTTCAAGCATAAAAGTGTTCTGATTTGAATTGCCTAGTTTAGTGGAGCATTAATTTTAATTTGAGCTTTAAATTATTGTGTCAATTATAATCTTAACTATTTAATCCCTTCAGAGGTTGCATGCACAAGTCTTATATTGGAACAAAAAGACCGTAGGTTGGTTTCGCAGAATGTTCTGAGAGCGTTTGTGAGTTCTTCAAGAAACCTTTTTTTGCTAGAGGATTGTGTTCTTTCCTTAGATTCCAGCCATTTACTAAAAGCCAAATGATACGATTTCCTTCGGGAATATATGCATATTTTTAATATGTATTTAGAAAAAAAAAAGAGAGTAGTGAATATGTATTCAGTGTTGTTTGATGAAATTATAATTTGATAAATTTATCATTTTAGTATTTTTAATATTTATTAAAAACAAACATATTTTTTTATTTAAAATAAATAAAATAAGATATATAATAAATAAAAAAATAATCGTATAAATTAATATTTTAAAATAAGTAAATAAAATTTATCTTTTAGAAGACATATATTATATTATTTTTTTACTAAATAATATTGACGTTGTTATAATTTTAGATAATGTCATAAGTTACTTTGAAACCTTAAAAAATTATATTAATATTTCATAAATATTATAAATATCAACTCATATTTAAAATATGTATCAATTTTTATAATACTTTTTTTTTAAATTTCAATGAGGCTTGTGTTCTTTTTTTTAGGCTCACGGTATTATTTTATCACAAATGATCTCGAAAATATAATAATACCATCCACAAGTACTTTTAACTAACTAAACTAACGGTATCGGTTTATCGAAAATGATATCGAAAATGTAATAATACCATCCACAAGTACTTTCAACAATCAAGGCGTGGATAGCATAAATTGCATCCACGACAGGAAGAGACACGCTTGGATGTCTTCCTATGCCTTTCGCATATTTGAAGTGCAGATTAGCCATTCTGATTATCGCAGTTCAGATGTGTATCAAAACTTTGGTAGCTAAAAGAGAATAATTTTAAAACACTTTAATAGCAAATATATATATATATTTTTCTATAAGTGAGTTGACGAAGATAGAAGTCAAACCCAAAACCTTGCCATAAATAAACTATTAACACCAAATTCTTTACAAAGTAAGTTATCATCTTCAAATATATATGTATTTCAATGCCATGTAATCACAACGATTATTTTGACAATTTGTAAATAAGGAACCCAGTAAAAAATATCACAGGCATTCCATAGTTATTTAGCTACAGATAGGGAATATGTCACCCAATAATCATCTGATTTGGTAATTTGCTTATGAACATCAGATTCAATTATCCAACTCTTACAAGGTATTAGGAGATAACTGTATTGATAGATTCTGTCCAACAGATCCTACACAGTCTCAAAAGGTTTTAAGTTCTAATTATTACCCATAGGATAGACAAGTCACTAACATCAATCTAAATAAGCTGCACCCCGAAAGTGTTCAATCCGTTCACTGCACGAATGGAACTATTCAAATTTCTTAATCAGTGAGAGATCATGCAGCATTTTCTCGATCGCATCATCTTCAAGCATCCTCCCTTTGCTCTGAGTTAAAAAGGACATTTATGGAAATTATAATCAGTTGCAAAATATAGTCAAACTCTCCAACCAAAATTAGATCGTGAAGAAGTGAAGGTAAGGAAATATCAAGAGCTACAAATTACTACAAACAAATCATAAACAGAAAAATAGCATGATGATGTGCTATTTGTTGTCACAATAATTCCAAAGAATGGGCACACGATGGATCCGTTCATGACTTGAATGTCCTATAACAGCAACTAATCAAGGAATGGATATAGGACAATAACTTGAGTGTTAGTACTCGAAAGCAACTTCCCTTGATTATCTTCAATCAAAATTCAGGTCATTTTGTATTCAGACAAACTGACAAAGTCAGTCTTGCATGTCAAAACTGTCTCCAACCAATCACTTTTATGTTTGAAAAATTATGCAAATGTTTTGTTGAACTGCAACAATCTCATTAATTACATTGATTCTACCCACTGATCCAAAAGCAGGGGAATGTATGATCCTTTTCGCATAAGTTCTATCCAACAATTCAAAGATGGAATGTGTGTATATGATCCCTACATCATCATCAAAAAAGCTACCCCATGAAAGTGGTTTGTATCATGTATCTAAGGTGACTAAACGGGGGACACTGGAGGCTGGCCCATGGCATTTTTGGAGAAAATTATGGGTCCTGACGCCATGACTGTTGAAGCATGTAAACAGGGTGATGCGAATACAAATTTCAATTGTTGAAACTGCACTTATGGGCTAACAAGATAGGAAAACAGTAAGCATTGTTGGAGTTCCTCTATTTGAAGATTTTGTATAGTGCTCAAAGAGAAAGGCTATTGAATAGTGACAGTTTCTAAGAAGTTTATAAAGTTTCTAGAGGAGAAAACAAGAAATCACTAAAAAAGGAATCAGAAGTCCTTGTTTCTCACTTTGCTAAGGAACTGCAGCAAGGTTTGGTTTCTCTTCTCAAAAGATACAGAGAACTACCTTTCACCAAAGGAAAACAAGTGAGGCAATTAATGATACCCTCATACCTCTAATTGTGATGGCTATAGCAGAATGTACAGCAAAGCTGATTGTTACTATGTCACAGAATAATCATAAACAGGACAATGAGGAGAACATTAATACTTCCAGGGGTGCAGTGATCAAGCACATGCCGCACAGAATGAAGAAGCTAACAAATACATAAACACATGAGGAAATAAAGGGAAAAGGACTATTGCAAGCTGAAGTCAGTAATGATGTTAATGATGAAAATATGATCTTGACTGAATTACAGAAAACGAACAATAAAGGCAACAATAAGAAGAGGTGGAGGACAGGCCTGCCTTGTCAGCAAACTGTTGCAGTGTGGAGCATGGAATAAGCATTTGATTGGAGTAATTATTTCGATGAAATAACTATAGATTATTAATTGATATCTCCAGCATGTCATGTTTCAGAAGGTTCATAATGATTACTTTAGATCAGAACTCTCCAAGATAAAACTTGTGACAAGGAACCTCCATGAGAGAGAAAGATGGTAAAGCTGAAGAAAAGAACTGCTCATGGTAGGGCACATTCTTACCTTGATAGATGGGACAATTGCAATAGCTTCTTCAACAGTTTCAGGACAGAGATTTCCGAGCACACAAAGCTGCAAATACCAAGCAAAAATTAACAAATGATGAAAATGTTATCCAGATGATTCTGGCATGCTTCAGCCAACAACTAAGTAGATCCATACCTCAAATTCAGCCAACTTATATCTGCTTAACACTCTGATAATTCAGTCAAGGGGTAGCAGTACTGATTTTCAAGATAAACAAATTACAAGAAGATGCAATAAATTAAGATATTGAACCAAACATTTACAAGTAAAGTGGCTCAAATTCTAACATCTCATGCACCAGTGCTAGCTTAAAAAACTATCTAGATCTTTCCATTATTGAGTGTACAGATTCAAGGATACTCTCGGACTTGTCTCACTGCATCAGGGTTCTTGTAGCGGCTAAAGCGCTTCACATACTGCATTGACTTTTCAAACACCCTAAATTATGGAAATGCAACTAAAATGTCACTATTAAAAAGTGAATACCAAAGCATACATGGGAAAAGGGAAGTGAAAAAGACATAATAATATAAGTAACAAAAACACTCACTGGGATATCTGGTTTGTAGGATCATCTGACGTCTGCTGAAGCTGGTCATATTTATGGTCCAGAATACGTGCAACTTCACAGTTCATCAAACACTTTGCCTTCAAAAATTCTGGAATGTTGCAGAAATAATAACAGTAACATCCATCGACCAGTAAAATAATTTACCAAGCAAGAAAACGTATGAAAGTTAAAATAACTAATTCTTAATGATGATATTAAACAAGGTCAATGCAAAAATATATTCGGATGAATTCTAACACCCGATACATACAGCTCATTTTCCTCCTAAAAGCAAACAACCACAAACAACAGATTGAATTTTTTAAAAAATCATTAACATATTATTCCTAGTGTCTCAACATTAAACCTTTCGCCTTATCTAATAAGTTAATCCACCTCTTTTTCCAAGTGCAGCATGTGAGTATCCTCAGGGATATGTAAGTTACTAATCAAAAGGGGAAGATAATGTTTAAAAGCTTTACAATTAATCTATCAACACAAAGATCAGGGTTGGAATCTCTAGCACCCTTGACATACGTATGGGCGAAATTGGATCAGCAAAAGCAAGACGCCATAAAAAGGACTTCTCTCTGTTCAAAAGCTCATGATTATGAGGAACATGCATATAGCCAACAAATGGCAGGTCATGGAAGTCTCATCCGTGCTTACAAAACTCAAGGGAAACATTCTACAACCATAAGTTAGTCGATCAAAGATTTGCAGAAAATCTACAATAGAGAATATCAAAGGTAAACCAACACAATTGGATGGACGCGCGAGATATATCACCATCGACGGATGTCACAGGTGCGATATAACATCCCCAACAGGAACTAGCAGATGAAAAGGTGGATATGAGGAATCGCTCACCTTCGCCGATCTTTAGTTCGGCGGCGTTCTCTTCCTCCTCCCCAGACATGTTCGCCCGGCAAAGAAACTTGAAAGATTCCTGGAGAGCAAATAAACATCGGAAACGCAATCGATGATTGCTAGGTCGGAAAAGAAACAGATTCTACCCGAAGGAGGTTCAATGGCTCGCAACAAGAGACACACAAACAGAGAGAGAGAGAGAGAGAGAGAGAGAGAGAGAGAGAGAGAGAGAGAGAGAGGCTCACAGGAGGCGGAGACGAGGGAACGAAAGGTGGGCGTCGACGGAGTGGATCGACTTCTCTGCGCGCAAGTGAAACCCTCGACGTAGGGTCGTCAAATACAAAGAAATAAGTTTCATATCAATTTCCCGAAAAGTCCTTTTTCGGAGTATTTGTTCTCATTTATGACCTCTTTCTTCCTTCGTGTCCTGTAAATTATATATATATATATATATATATATATATATATAAAGGAAGGATATTAATTCGAGAAGAAAAGCCATTACATCAAGTGGGGAAATGAAGAAGATTATGAAAAAATGATTAAAGGGGTATGCCCTGCTGCCAATTTATTTGAATGGAAATGATGTACTTTTTTTTTAGTTACATTCATCTAGTGCTAAATCAAACTGATTATTTCTTTAAATAAGCTTACAATTTATTATTATTATTTTTTGCTACACTAATGGTATTATAAATCTCCACCAACCTTAATTATAAATCCCGTTATAGGTTATCAGGTTGGGTATATGTATGATATATTCTTTTGAAGATTTGAATGATTTTGGATTGAAACTAATATTATTGTTAATGGATGACAATATGTTAACAAATTAAGCTTCGGCATACCCACAATGAGTGAAAATTAAATCTTCTGCACACCGACTAAAATTAAGCTTTTTCTTAAAGGCTTCAAATCAAAAGATAAAAAAGGAAAATTTTCATAATATCCGTATGATACACATGCCTGGTGTGTAGGCCATCCATACTACACATGCCTAGCCTACATACGCTCATAATATATCCAATGAAACAGAAAATAATGACATAAGAGGAACAGAAACAGAAAATAATTGTAACTTGATAGTTAGAAGTATAATGGTCGTCTTATCAAGATAACAAAAAGCACGAGATGAAACTAAACACTCGGAAACTGGTTGATCTACAAAGGCTTCATCAGCAACTTCCATATGCGGGCTTGATTGCCTAAACAATCCTTTGTCTGTGGATGTTGAATCGTTTGTTGCACAGCAAATGCAAATTTCAAAGTGCAGAAATGAACTTTTGAATCTTTGCCTGTGCTCGCTCCTTCTCTTCAGGTCCATCAAGATCTCCAATGTTATCGTGATACTCCTGTACCAAAGAGTTAGGATTGTTTATCAAGCATATTAGACTATGCCTCGACAGACCATAACTCTTTGTTTCTCTCTTATTTCGGTGGCAGCCGATGTGTTAAATGAGATGATAAACTCGTATGATCAGAAAGATTATGCAATTAACTCTTTAGATCGCAGTTGTATAATCATTGTTCAAGGCACTTAGCATTGTCAAAAAATATCGAACAATGTACTGATTATTTGCTGCAGCTTGGACTCGTGACTTCCACTGTTATAGATTCTAACAACTTACCGATAAATGAACCAGGTAAATGAGACAGGATACCAAGTTTAAGGCTTGTGGTGGCAGTAATTTTTTACCTACATATGGTACATTGGTATAGCTCAGATGGTACTGGTACGGTTCCCAAAACTAAAAATCTTGGTCATAACTAAAACTATTAAAAAAGATGCTAGCAGGCACTAGATGTATGAGTGATGCACTAAACACCATTTATTCTGAAAAGTGTAAGATAAATGTTTGTGCATCAATGCATACCTGAAGTATGCATCTCACATCCTTCTTTGTCAATTTATTCTGCTTAAGAAGCAGCTCAATCCTTTCTCTCATCCTTGAATGACTGAAGCCAACAATAACCTCATATCAAAACTAACAACCAGAGATTTTAAAAAGCTGAAAAGTGGATTTTTCACATCTAACTTACTCAGAAGACCAGAGATGTCCCAGTATAACAGCAATCAACTGGAATTATGCAAGTGAAGCGCTTTAGTGCAGGAAGAAACAATGGTGAATAGATGACACCAAGAATCCAGAAAAGAGAAAATGACAAACAATCATGATCGTGTGCTTACTTGAAGAGTATAAAGCCCAGCTTCGAGCTTTCGGTTATATCGCTCCTCTTCATCAATCTACAAATATTCAGGGTTAGCTATTGCATCTATAATGAGCATTGGAAGCATTAAAGCCTGATAAGATAGGGACCTCTAAATCATCCAATTGAAGTCTATCAAGTCTTTCAGTCTCGGCTTTTATTCTGTCTGAGTACCTGCAAATTTTCAGAGATAAGGATCCACCACTAACAGTAAAGAATGCGCCTGCTTCAGAAATGCATTCCATGGAGATGATGTATGCAAGATTCCAAACTTTACCGCATATAAAGTTCCATTAGTCGGTCTATCTTTTCACATTCGTTTTCTACAAATTTGCTCAACAATCGTTCCCTTCTTGAACCTCTCAGAATACCACCTGCAGAGAACCAACTCCACTTTCTAACCATGTCTTACATGATTTTACCATAAGTAGCTCAAATGTAACTGCAAAAACTACAGACACATATATCCGAAAGATACCTGAATACCAGCATAGGAGTATCTTGCATTGTATCATTAGAAAAAGCAGAACACAAGTTATTTGATATAGAGAAGAATTAGTAACAAGTGATTTGGTATATTTCTGCTAGAGAAATAATATCTTGGTGACAGTTTCCAGCAGCTAATACTTCAGCATTGTGGAGTTTGGGAGATCTGGAGCAAAGATCAGATGAGGAAAAGCACTAATCATACTTATGAATCAGAGGTTGTAATGCATGTTACTCCTATGATGTACAGTAAATGTTTTATTCACACTATAAATATTAGAAAAAGGAACCGATATATATTATGGAGAAAGCCACCGATTTCTACATGAGCAATATTGTGGAAAAGGAATAGGAAGTATTTCATATATTTTGCAACCCATCCTAAAGTTTTATTCCGTAACAGAGACTTCGAAAATAGTGAGTACAGCTAGGATTAAAAATGGAAGATGAAAGTTCAAGATGAAATTCAGTGAAGAAATGTGCACAAAAGGTAATGAATCTGTTGTTTGCCTTAAAAAAGGCAAGCAGAAAATGATGTTGTACATCAAAATTCACAAAAAAAGTCAAATTTGGGCAGACAATTTCGATGGGTTAAATGGTAGACCCTAATTAGGGGGGCCAATCTTCAAACTTAAAGGGGCACAAATGTGACAAACACAGAAATAGATGGAGATCTTCAGTCTTCTACAGATGTAGTGGCCATGGAACCAGTCAAGTTAGTATAATTTTTTTATAGTATAAAATTCATATACATAAAATATATATATTAGGTGAACTGATGATCACAAGCCAATCCCACCGAGCCTGTCTAATAATAAGGTCAGGTCAAGATGATGATACCATTAACACCATCTAGACAACTTTTTCAGGTCACACGATCAGGATCCAACACTTCTAACGCTACTTTCACTTTAGTGATATGGACTGGATCACATGACTTGAAGATGAAAAAGCTTGGAATGTCAGACTAAACTTGAGATAGTACCAAGAGCTTGAAACAATTAAACTTGACATAATGGAAATACACAACAACGATGTTCAACAACAATGAACGAAAACATTAAACAGACCAGACATCTTTGAGCATTATACTGGACAAGAATCCATCATATGATGTTTCAAACAACAAATCAATTCAATTGCTCCTCAGAGAGATCTTACCTGGCATAATTTCCATTTTTCGAGTTCCTAAAATAGGAAGTTATTTTCTTGTCATCTTATTGGTTTTTTTTTGTTTTGAAAATGGGCAGAACTTGAATGTAACTTCTAAACTTCAAGAGAAAGTGTCTTATTCATCATAGGCCAAGGGTCTAGCATATTTTATTTGGTAGTTTTATAAGTTTTATAAGCAAAAAAATTCTAACTTCTGACTGTAGCAATTTATGAAAAAATATCCATAGAACACATAAGAAAAGAGAACATTACCAATATATATTTCGTTATCAGTTTCTTTCCCACTCCAAAATACTAAACATCCATAAAAAGAAGAAAAGAAAAACAATAAAATGATGGATTTAACTTGCCTTACCAAATAACGATGCAATGAGTGAAATAAGGCGCTCCTCTAACTCCTCCTGGTAGCTCTCTTTCTTCTTTTTCTTGCTTACTGGAATCTGAATGGTAGTGGAAATTACAACATGATTAGATGAAAGCAGGAAGGACAAAAGCGTGTATAATCTCACAGTAGAAAAAGAAAGAGGGGGGTAATTCAAACAAAAGGATGTTTTACAAATCTTCAAGTTAACTATAGTTCCACAAATAAACCAAAGGCATATTGCAAACTCAAGGCGATTTTAATAAGCAAAATGCTGCCTTCAGAAAAAACCAAGGATAACATGCAACAGAACTGTTATGTCAAAAGCAGTATCAACCAATTACATTAACTTTAAGAAATCTATCCTAGGTTTCATCCTTTGCTCATACCAAGATTTGATTCGTAAAGCAATCCAAAATAAAGCTTGGGAAAGAAAAAGATAATGGATCATTGAGGAGACGAGATAGATCTAAAACTTCATGATGGTAACTTCAAGAAGAGAAGGAATGTTATATAAAAATGCTAAGATTTTTAAAGTAGAAGGGCCTAACTTTGTTGTATCTTGACTAATAGCTTTAAACAGATTTTATTTCCTAGCTAATAGGACTACTCAGTTTTTACTACAAATAAAATGAAGGAGCTGCTTAGGTACTCCATTGAATGCACCAAAATAGGCTGACCTCAACTGTTTTATTCTGAAGGCCACCTCATGGGTAGCTTTGGATTTTCTAGTTCCTTGAGTAGGAGCAACATAACTAAAAGAAAAGCAAATGAATTGAAAAATTCTCAATCTTGGCAACATTATATGGCATTTCTCATCGATTGAAAAAAACTTAGCTTTGGTTCCACTAGACAAGAAATGCGACTATAAATTGACCTTTATGAATCACAGACAAACTAAGTGTGGTGAGATACAGATGCAATCACTCAAGAAGTAATTCTGGGCAAAGCTATTTCTTAGAGCTTTAGCAAGCAAATACAGCCGTGATCGCAACATCAAAGTACAAGATATATGGATGCAAAGGGAAAATAGAAGAATGTAACTTGCCTTACCCATGAACGCTGCGAAAGCTGTCTTCAAACCCAACACATCCACAAACCGCTCACATGCTGGAGGATACTTCGTCATTGCAAAATCGAGCGCCCTGATCGAAGACCCATAAGCAGACTTCTTCTGCTTCATGATGATGATCATGAGCTCTACGCCCTCTGACTTCAAGAACCTCTCCTTGTTCTCCATTGGCATCAGCAGGCAGCATAGGCAGTCAAACAGGTTCTCAAGCATCTCCTCCTCATCCTCGCTCTTTGGATCTCGTGACTTGTACAAAGCCACCGCCTGCAGCACAGCGTCCACGCCATTCATCTGGCCAAGCCGCTTCTGGTTTGTGGGGCTGTTCTGCAGCAGAATCGCCATGATCTCCGAGGCGTACTGCTTGTTGGCGTCAAACTCACGCACCTTGATCCTGCCGATGAGCCAGCGCAGCAGCTTTGTCCGCTCGCAGACGAGCTCGGCGACCGCTGGTTTGACCTCAATGAGGTTCTCGATGGTAGAGAGAGTATTGTAAATGGCGGTGGCCTCGTCAGGGTCGGCCTCGGAGAGGCGGGCGAGGTTCTGTACGAGTAGCTCCAGAGCGTTGTTCTCAAGAAGGGTGTCGACGAGGACGCGAACGGCCTCCTCGTTGTCATCGTCGTCGCCAAGAACGTCCTCGTCAGTGAGGTCCATGAGGAGGGAGACGACGTCGACGGCGATGTCGGCATTGTCGTGGCCAAGTAGGTCGACGAGGGAGGGAACGGTGTTGAGGGCGACGAGCTCCGGGTACAGCTCGGGGGCGCCGGCGAGGACCTTGAGGCGCTCGATCTCCTCGTGGAGCTCGACCTCGGAGTCGGCGAACTTGTCGGGCTGGTCCGGATACTTCATGCGGGCCTCGAGGTTGTCACGAAGGCGGCGCTCAAAGGCGAGCACCAGCTTCTTCAGGGTGCGTAGGTCGAGCACCTCCACGCCGCCGTTCTGCGCCGACTTCTCTACCGCCTCGAGGAGGGCGAGGTCGACGCCGCCGCCGGCGTCCTGGGACGCGGAGGAGGGGACTGGAGGCGACTCATCTCGCTTACGCTTGTTGTAGTGTTGGTGGTTCTCCATGGAGCCGCGGCTCGGGGAATGAGGGGGAGAGGCGAAACCCTAACCCTAAGTTATGCTGCGGCACTGAGGAGGCCGGAAAGGTTCGAGAAGCTCTGTGGCAACTTTGCAATTAATAGCGACTTCAGAAGCAGGCGATTTGGGTTGAGCCAAACTGCAAATAGGTTCAATACCCATTACCAGCCTGACGTGGCACACACATGATGACTAATAGGGGTAATATTGTACGTGTCCAGAGAGGACCCCACAGGAAACCTGTCATGTGATTCTTCGCACGGATCTGAACGATGTCCATAAAAAATATCGTGCGAATGACAAAGGCATCCATCAATCGGGAACCACGTTTCGTGGCATGAATGATCTCAGCATCTCCACGTAGTTGATCCATTCCCCATTGACCACACCAATAATTGACTCCAGAACTGGGTCACGTTCGTTTCCGTGGGCGTCAAGATACCATTTCCTTTTTAATATATATCTACATACACTTAATTCTTCTTATTTTATTTATTTTATATATTTTTTTAAATTTTAGACTTTAGGTTTTCTGAGAATTTCTGTGTTTTCTTGAGAAATTTGTTGTTATTATTATTATATATACGCACAAAAAAATATCTAACCATGACGTTACGGCATTTCCCAATTCCCACGTGGCCTATTTCTTTCTCTCGTGTGCTCGCTTCAATTACCGTCGTTCTCGTCCGTGATCGCCTCTGCCTCTGCCTCTGCCTCCAACGTGCTTTCCTCCTCGCCCTCCAAACTTCTCTGCCTTCGTACCAAAACCACCGCAGACGCTGCAATCGAAGGGGGATCGGAGCGGTCTCCTCTCTTCTCTGGCGAGATGACGGCCCTGCGCGGCCTGCTGAGAGGAAACGCCGCCGTCAATACGCGCACGGCGGGGAGGTGGATCTCGTCTGTGGCAGCGGAATCGGGCTTCTCGTTCCCGGCGAGCCAGGCCCGAAAGGGGGTGGCGCCGAGGAGGGATCCCGGGAGCCGGAACGTGCAGTGGGTGTTCCTGGGCTGCCCGGGCGTCGGGAAGGGGACCTACGCGAGCCGCCTCTCTCGGCTCCTCGGCGTGCCCCACATCGCCACTGGCGATCTCGTTCGTGACGAGCTCGCAGCCACGAGTCCTCTCTCCAAACAGGTTAGGTCCCTTGGAAAACCCTTTCTTGGCCAATGATTTCATTTTTGTGCTGATCCTTTGGTCGGATCACCGAAATCATGGTGGATCTAAGTTTGACTGATGAGATGAAGGATGCGGTTGAATTGGCTTCGGCGTCATTACTTCGTCAATCGAAAGGAAGAAGAGGATTCTGGTATTGATTCGTAGAGCTCGATTTGGGGGAGTATTACTATTTCTCCAGCATGATATTTGGCTTAAGAAACGAGAAACAGAGAAGAGCACGACTTATTTCCTCTTATTTCTACTTTGTTCCTTCTAGCCTCTTATGAAACCTAGACTACAAATTTAGATAAAAGAAATTAAATAAGTGAAAAAAATTAAAGTTGGACTCAAGAGGGTAGGATAATATTAGGGGAGTAAAGTGAAAATTAATGTTTCTTGTTACTAATAAATTGATAAGATCATGTCATGAAGCCAACCCTGTTCGGAGGCTTTTTTTTAGACTAATCTGTATGTGTTGAAGATGTCTTGTGATAAGGGATCAATTGGTCGGCCGACCATTGGTGTTGCCCGTAGGTTCGCGAGGAATTGTCCGCTTTGAGCGATGGGCGTATTTGTATGGTTTTATCCTTTCAGAGCTCGTGAGCTCCAAAAGGTGCCTCTGAGGGTAAGGGAGACCCAGCGGACTTATGAGCCCTTGGTTCTTATACTCTTCGACCAATGTGAGACTAAATGGCCTTATCAGTGCTCCCTCCATACGGGAACCAAGATGCACGGCTCGGGAGCGGGTTTGCTCGGCCGAGGTGCAGGCCTCGGGCCCTCCTTCTAGCGCCAATCTGATAAGGGATCATTTGGTCGATCGGCCATTGGTGCGGCCCGTAGGGTCGCAAAGAATTGTCTGCTTTGGGCGATGAGCATACCCATACGGTTTTATCCTTTCGAAGCTCGTGAGCTCCAAAAGGCGTTTCTGAGGGTAAGGGAGACCCGGTGGACTTATGAGCCCTTGGTTCCTATACTCCTCAACCAATATTAGTAGGAGCTCACAAGCTCTGAAAGGGCAAAACCGTACGGGTACGCCTATCGCCCAAAGCAAACAATTCCTCGCGAACCAATGGGCTGCATCAATGGCTGATCGACCAAATGATCCCTTATCAGATTGCTGCTAGAAGGAGGGCCAAAGGCCTGCACCTCGGACGAGCAAACTCGCTCCCGAGCCATGCACCTCGACTATGAGCTCTTGGCTCTCCTACGGAGGGAGCACTGATAAGGTCATTTAGTCCCACATTGGTTGAGGAGTATGGGAACCAAGTTTTCATAAGTCCATCGGGTCTCCCATACCCTCAGAGGCATATTTTGGAGCTCACGAGCTCTAAAAGGGCAAAATAGTGCATGTACGCCCAAAGCGGACAATTCCTCGCGAGCCTACGAGTTGTACCAATGGCTGATTGACTAAATGGTCCCTTTTCACCTTGGTTATAATAGTGATACTGAATTAAACACTTCTGATGGGAAAACTAGAGATAACTGGTCACTAGGACATCATGAATGATGGATTCATATGTGTATCATCGTTCATGGTTGATTGTTTTGTTTTATGAGGAATTCTATGGAGGATCACCGCATTCCATAGAGGATGCTGAATTAAACTCTTTTGATGGGAAAACTAGAGGTAACTGGTCGCTAGGACATCATGAATGACAGATTCATATGTGTATGATCGGTCATGGTTGATTGTTTTGTTTTATGAGGAAAGCTATGGAGGAACACCGCATTCCAAAAGTTTTGCATTTTTTTTTTCCTCTGGAATAGTTTGTTCAAGACTTGTGCATGACCTAATTATTCTTCCATTTTTGTTAAAGGTTGTACCTAGAATGGAGCACTCGTCCTCGTGTGACAGTCTAGAGATTAAACTCATGCAAAATACATTCTCAGTCATTAAATTTCTTGAAAAACAAGTGTCCGAAGACATATATCGGATGACATGGTTCGGTAACCCCATATTGTTGGGATGATGACCTGGAAAGCTGACAATTGAAGATATGAGGAACAAAAGTTTGGTGTGAATAATAATATTATTTTCTAATGCGTTTTATGATTCTGTTATGTATCATAATGAAGGATGAACAAACTATAAAGTGAGAAAATTTCTTTTTAGAAGGCATGAAGCAGCCTGATTCCTAGTAAATATATGATTGCTTCAACTAAAATAATATTATCTACAAATTACTATCAAAAAAATATTATCTTCAAATTCATGTGGGAAATACGTTTGTGGGGGAAATGATAATGGTGATGATAATGCTGCTCAAGTATGCATAGTTTGTGCAGGATGTTGAGAAACCTATTTTGTAGATTTCTTGTGATCTATCAAAATCATATTATTAGAGGTTAAGAAATTATCAGCTTTAATTATTTCCAAGTTTTGGCATATGGAAGCTGTATATGTCACAGTATTTCAGCTACTGCAAGCTTGTTAGTTGATAATTTCTTGGAAATTAGAAGTAAAATGAGCTGAACTTGTTTGTGGACTTATTAAATTTATGGCCCTGTCTTCCATATTGCACTCTAAAACTTTAGTGAGGTAAAACATCCCAGATTATCAATTTTTTGTTGCAGAAATAAAGTGATTTTTTTTTTAGTTATAGAATACTCTCCAAATTAAGCCAAAAAATATGGTTTACAGTAAAAAGAATATATAGATAATTTTGTGGTAATTTATGATTGCTTTGCACATTGTAATGGCTTTCCTAATTATTGACATTCTTATACTTGCTTCACGTTGCACTAGGTGAACAGATATCTGTTCTCTAACAAAACATCATCAATTTAATGTTGTGCTTACACAATCTGAATCTGACTCTGTAGCTCACAGAAATTGTAAATCGAGGACACTTAGTGTCTGATGAGATCATCATCGATCTGTTATCCAAGCGTCTTGAAGATGGAGTGGCTAAGGGTGAATCAGGATTTATTCTTGATGGTTTCCCACGAACAAGAAGACAAGCAGTGAGTGAATGATATTATAGTCCACACACTATCTCACTTTGTTCTAGAAGGTTTTGTTTTGTTTTCACTAGTATGGTACCTATTCTGCTTATGAAATGCTGTTTCTTCTGAAACTTTAGTTGCAGTGCTCAGTCTTTTGTTTAACTTCATAGATACATTTTCCATTTAATGTTTCAGAATGCATCTTTATTTCCTCTTCTTCTAGGGTGTTCTCAGGCATAGGTGTATCCTGAGTGTCTCTTTGTTTGCACGAGCTTAAACTGCAGCAGTTAACATATATCCTTCCATTAGTTGACTAGCCTTCCAGGTTTATAGAGAGGCCCTCTTTACCATAACTTGCCTAACATTTGGCTCCAGTTTTGATGTTGCGTTAAAATGGTATCGCGCGCTTCTTTCCCTGAGTTATTTCAGCACTTTTGCTTTCTTTTAATTGTCCATGGTACCATGTACTTGATTTTTTGTGTAAGGAATTGGAGTAAATACAAAACCAAATTAAGTTTGAGAAAGATAAAAAGATAACTCTTAATTGAAAAGTATGTCTTTCCTTTATAATCCTAGTGATTTTCAACCCAACTGCGAATAGTTCTCAGATTGGACATCTATGAATTTGGAGAGAACTTGATTAATTTTCTAGCTAACCCGTGCTCAGTTAAAAAGAAAAAAAAAAACATTGGCACTACCTAATAAACCTCTGGTTTTCAGATAACAGGTCTGGTATGTTTCGCTTGGGGGAACTATATTAGTCATTGAGCAATAGTGGCTTGAATTCATATCATGCTGCATCTTGTAATTCTTTTGCTCATCATCAATTTGCCTGATATGGCAGGAAATACTAGATGGAGTAACAGAAATTGAGCTGGTTGTCAACTTAAAGCTCAGAGAAGATGTACTGCTCGCTAAGTGTCTCGGGAGAAGAATTTGCAGCCAGTGTGGAGGCAACTTTAATGTTGCCTCCATTGATATCAAGGGTGAGAATGGCAGGCCAGGTATTGCTATGCCCCCACTTCTACCTCCTGAACATTGCATGTCAAAACTCATTACCAGAGCGGATGACACTGAAGACGTGGTGAAGGAACGACTCCGTTTATACCATGAATTGGTAATGCATAAACTACTTGATTTGCCAACTCAATTTCCAAAATTTGTTGATTCGTTTGGATCTCACAGAACTCTATTAATGCATCATAGCATGTTTTTGGTTCAGGAAGATCCTTATCACTATTCCACTCTCCAAAACTTTTGTAATTGAATGTATCAAGAGCATTTGCAATAGTGTCATAGACAAAGTGGTACACTTGGGAAGATAATTTAACCATAATGCGGCAATCTGTTCCAGCTGTTGAGAATTTGACCAATAGTGTCTAGAATAGTGTATAATACTATTTGTTGTTTTCGACCAGACTATAAATACAATACATGATGTCAGAAGGCACTCGTCAGAACAGAGAGGACTTTATCTAGATCAATTTTGTGACTGTCTCAGCTGACGTGTAGAGAATGTGAACCAAGACGATATTTGTTTCATCAAATGATGTTTTCATTAGTAGTTTTCTTGTTATGATGCAATTAATGATACTTGCATTATTCAATTAACATGAAACTTTTCTAATCTCATCCATTTATCAAGTTTTCGCCAATAGTTCTATTCCTTTTTTCAGTTACAAACAAAATTCTAAGGAAGGTCAAAGGAGTTCAAATGCAGAATTTGATCTATTATCCTTTATACCTTGGAACCAGTCTTGTCATAAAATATAGCTTCTTTTCATGTGAATTGGATAATTGATGAAATCAATCGGTACAATAAGACATGCTGTATTAGTAAGTTTTTTTTTAATCTTTTTATCTGTTTGTGATGTTCTTTGTTCTAAATAATGGTTTGTTTATGCAGAGTCAACCAGTGGAAGAGTTTTACCGCATCCGTGGGAAGCTCTTAGAGTTCGATTTGCCTGGAGGAATTCCCGAGTCTTGGCCGAAGCTATTGCGGGCTCTGAATCTTGATGACCATAATGAAAAGCAATCAGCAGCCGCTTGATTATAAACGGAGGTTGCAGATCTGTCGCCTGTGTAGTGTAAATGCATACTACCAAGCTCGATTTTTTTCCGAATAAGAGTTCAAACTAACCCTGCCAGAACAAAAAAAGGAGGGTGTCAACTTGCTTAATAATCCCACGGAGGATTTGGTTCTCAAGCAATAGAACAGAATGATTTCAACTTGCCCATACTGATTATTATGTTAAAAGGTGTAGTTATGGTGTGCAGGATGAGTTATATTCTTTCTTCAACGTGCCCAATACACCCCAGCATTTCTCCACCTCACACATGTCTATCTTCAAACTCAGTTTTCTCACATATTAAATCGATTCATGGATATCAACTAGATGGAGGTACTATTCATCAACTTTGATTTAAGCATCTTATATCACATGGATCATAATGGCGCCTCGTAATGAATCGTGTATAATTTCAATTGAACTTCGGTCAGAATACAATCTTCCTGTGTTGTCTATTTCAAGAACCAGAAAATGGATTCCTCTATAAATCCTTTAATCCAGCAAATTAATCATACTTCAGCACCATTAAAAATGCACTTAGGATATAACGTGAATAATGCTATGTATATGAATTTTTTCGGGCAAAATCCATAACCTTTTATTAAGTATATAGGAATCAATAGCAAGCATAAATCTTTTCAACTGTACCTTTGAATCAGGTTAATTATAGATTATAACATGTAGTTAGCGATATTTAATATTTTAGTTTCTATATTTTAAAAAATTATATTAGTATTTCTATACTAATGAAAGTGAAATATTAAATCCTTTTTTTTTTACTCTATTAATAGTGATAATTTTACAATCAGTATTACTTGTCACCCTTGTACTTGGGTTTTATAAAGGTCGAAGGTGGCATCCAAATCTTTAGAATGCTACTATCAGTAAAGAGCCATTGGTCTTGCGCACACCACTTTCGTCGTTGTTGGGTTTATCGTCCAAGAGGATAGTGAAGTTGAAGGCAAAAATAATGAAGTAATTATTTGGAAGGTTGTTTGAAAGGATAACAAAGTCAAAGACGAGGATAGCAAAGCATGAGAAATGGGATGATACATAAGATATTAGAATAGTCGACATTACTATTGGGTAGGTTGTCCGAGACTAGAACGCTAACATTGGATAGATTGTCCAGCAGGATAACAAAACGAATCGGAGGATAACAAGTTTGAAGTTATAAAATTAATATCTTTAAATGGTAAAGATAGCGACTATAAAAATATTTTTTTATTTATTTTAACATAATTTCTACACGTCAGTAGAGTCGACAATTAAATGTTTCTGTACAGATCGGAACGGAACACTAAACTAACTACGGCTAATCTGTGATTAGCACCCTTTCACGCCAAATGTAAAGAAAAGCCACTAGAAGGCGAGAAGAACAAGAAAGGAGGGAAGGGAACGAACCCTACGTAGCCGGAATCTCTTGCCGGACTCGGAAAAAAGCTCCTCCAGGCAAAGATCGGCCTTGGGTGTGGCGGCGGGAGTCCCCCGACAGAGGAGCCTCGGGCTCAGGCACTTGACGTGGACCGGGAGGCACAACGAGCTCTCGATTGATTAAGCAGTCGGAGGGGAAGAAAATCCAACACCGGCGATTGAGCAATCGGGGCCGCAAAGCCGATCAAGAATCGGGACCATGGAATGGGGAAGAGAGGAAGAGGGTTTCTTCGCTCGATCGTTGGGTAAAGAGAGAAGCCATTAAGGAGGAGGAAGACGAGGGACGGGGACGATTAAGACGATGAATCGTTTGGCCTCGAACGGAACAGAGGCGGTTCACCGTCGCAGTTGCCGAATGCGCTTTAATAGCGGGAGGAGGGGCCGCCGACACGCCCACGTGGCGCAGTCATAGCGGCCTTCTGAGCATTGAAGTGTGTTCCGAGTGTTTTACGCAGCGAGCACTGCGTCCGGTGTCCGGATCCAGGTGGCAGGTCCAGGTGGCGTGCAAGCATTGGCGCATCCGTGGACGGTGTCTTGCTCATGAATCCGCGAGCTTTAATTAGTTGATTGACCTTCCAACGGCTTGATGAGGCTGATGAGTTCGACAGGGTTCATTCATTTGAACCCAACTCTTCGTGGAAGATGCAGATGCTGCTGAGCTAAACGACGGCTGAAACGGATCCACCATAAGTGGTGCAGTCAAAACACCCCAATTGATAACCTAACAACGTCTCATCCTCCGACACATCTTACCAAATCATAAGAACAATTCACTAACATACGAGTAGCAGACATTGTTAACACTTTTGGGGCTTCGATTCTTCTCTAATGCTGCACAAAATGATAGATTAGCAATTTACAGTTTGTGCCGATACGGCATCCAATCGAGTTGGATGAAACATAAACTAGTTGTTTTCGTATTAATCGATCAATAAGCAATTCAAACATTTCGCCTGTACAGACTTTTTAAGCTGCAAGAAGAGCCAAAACAGCAAAGAAAAAAACCCTTTCATCTCGGACAACTGATCTCACTATATCAATCCAAAATTAGGGTGATCATCTTATTTGATAAGCCTGCTTCTTCAAAAGTCAAGTTGTTTGCATATTCCAGGCTCTTCAACGTACCAGGAATGGCTTCGGCAAAGTGGAAAGGTCGCTTTTGTCCATCCGCCAACTGTGAGGAGCACAGAGACCATAAAAGCTGCATGGGGACAGGCAAGATTCATGTCAACCTTGTAAACAGATAGCTGTGGAAGCAAGGACACGAATTTCTGATTAGATCTACTACCTTTGTCGAGTCAGTTGGAAGGAAATTTCTCCGGATTCTACGTCCATCAGGGAGACGGATCGCAATTTTACAAAGTTCTCTGCTACTTTTTGGTTCTTCGGGAAGAGGAGGATAAATCATCTCTCCATTTAAGCTGGTTTCGGAATCTTTCTCCGGTTTAGGTTCATCATCAATTACAGGTGGCCAAGAAGCACCTTTACCATCCTCCAGTGAAGCTGCTATTGCACGCATAAGCACTTCATCATCCTCAACTTCTTTGTCTAAAACAAACAAAAAACATGGTGAATTCTGATGAACCCAAGTCAAAAATTTACATAGCTTGTGCCTTGTATTCTTGTAATGCACAAATTACCAAGTTCTGGTGGACTGGAATTTAAGAATGCAGTCATTTACACTAAAGCACAAATTTTCTTTGGCCATTTTTGATGGAAAATCAACACCCATCTTAGTTGCATGCATTATTTATATATGCTGCAATTTTCCATCTCATCACATGACATGTCAGGAAACATTCATAAATCTTTGTGTGTCAGAATCTGTAGTTGATCTAGGTGCATCAAGAGAAAAAATGACAGTAAATAGATATTTTAGATCCAAAAGTCATTTGTTTTAAGGATTAAACATCTGCTGACTTACCTAGTATATTATTGAGTGCAGAATTATGGGTGACTCTTGGACGCTTCTGAGGAAGAATAGCATGATGCTCATTTGGTCCTTTGTCCAGAAATGGAAGCAACTCCTAGATAGGAAAGCCATTGCAAATAACAAAGAAGACAAATTATTAGCTCTGAATCCAATATATTTGAAGGCGAAGTTTACTAGCATATTCATACATCAGGAGATGACGGACAGATGAAGTCAAAACTCAAAAGAATACATAATTATGGATCATTTAGGCCTCCAGTACCTCCAACAGACGCTCCGGATGTACCATGTTACTCCATCCCCTCATTTTTTGTCCAGTAATGGGATCAATAACAAGAACTGCAGGAAGAGTAGTCAAGTTGTAGTAGGTGCAGACCTTCTTCCCCTCACTGGTATCATGCAACACCTGAGATTCTCAAAACAAATGCAACATAAAGCATAAAGCAGGTAGAAAATCGAAATAATAAGCAAAGAGTATAACTGTGCCCTGAATCTTATTAGTAAAAAAAAAAACACAGAAATGAGATGCCTGTGCAAGCATATGCTTACACAAGTACAATGGACTAACCTGAAAGAATATGAAATTGCTATGGATTGTTTGTGCCATGGCTTCATTCGACCATGTATCACGGTTAAGCTTTGGACATGAAGAGCATATGAAAGTGACTATCTTGTAGAACTTAAATCATAGAAAACAGTACAAGTCTAGAAACAATTACCATATGTGAGCTGAATTCTTCATTGGACTGGATATTCATCAACAGCCACTTGCCCTGAACAGAAGCCTCAACCTTTGCCTGTACAGACAATGAAATAGTGCGATCAATGATGCATGGGAAAGAATAACATCAGGAAAAACCCATCAGCATTCAAAACTTCAATTCATATTTCCCAAACAAGATGTTTAAAAGAAGCTCATCTCATTCTTCTTAGGTTCTGATTCTCTCTTTTCTTCTTTATTTGACATGACCAAAGGGAGAAGTTCAGTCGAAAGAAGCCTCTCAAGTTTAAATGACTAATAATCCACCTCAACAGATCACAGAGAATATGCTTTCACTTTGTTGTGGCTAATGAACTGTTTCAGCAAATACAAATTTCTGAAAAAGCATCATAATTCAATCATTTACAATTCCTTATCTTTCAAAATAATGTGAGGCTTTTTCAGTATATGAAGAAAGGTTACACCTGAAAGGTAAATATTATGGATACTGAATCTTCTAAAGGAACAGCATGTGCCTTGATTCCTTGGCATGTCACTTATCTTAAGCAACATGTTGTTGACTATGTACTAAATAGAAATAAACGAAAGTAGATCCTCCATGGTACCATCTATGCTTAGGTATGTTACAACTAAATGTCAAGTGGCTATTGATATTTAGTGAACTTCAACAAGCTTCCCATTGGTATAACACCATTCGCTTTGAATGTAATGTTGCGTGGATACAGACAAGAGCATCATAAGTACAGGAATCAAAGTGCTTGCTTTCGGAAGATGGATATATCTGGGAAAAAAATTTAATAAATAACTGTGCTTGTGCATTGGTAGGATACCGTACAAACTAATAAAAGCACTTGGCGGTCCCAATTTCAAACCTTTTTATTTAGTCTAAAGGTGCAGTATTGAGACTAATTGGAGTCAATAACAACTAGAAGATAGAAAATAACCTTCTGCCAACTCTCAAACTACATATGTGGAATATAGTTACTAAAACTTTGAGAGAGAGAGAGAGAGAGAGAGAGAGAGAGAGAGAGAGAGAGAGGAGCACACTGTCATGTAAAATACAGTAAGTTGTTTTTTACTTCCATGTTAGTGCATTTTGTGAACTAATACTAATTAT